GCAGCCATGAAGGGCCAGAGCAGGGCAGCAGTGTCTGTGAGATGCCAGCTGAGGACTCCCTTACCCCTGCCGGGTTCCTCCTGGGCGAGGAGGAGCTTCTTCCGCACATCCTCACGTGCTCGCCCATCTAGAATGTCAAAGACCGTGTCCCCCTGGGCGAGCAGCTCCACCTGATAAAGAGAGGGCTGCCGTTGCAGCCTGCGCCTGCCCCAGTCGGCCGGGCCTTGCCCTGGCACTGCGAGCACGCAGCCTGCTGGAGCCACAGAGCAGCACCGTGCAGCAGAGGCACCAGGACAGGTCCAGGCACAGTGACCGCAGACACGCAGTGGGCAGGCCTTACCACAGAGAGGCCCAGGACCTGAGCCACGTTCTCCGAGATGTAGACCAGCTTGCCGTTGGCCGAGAGCACAAGCAGAAACCCTGGCAACAGGGAGAGCAGCTCTGTGCCGAGGGCGGGTCCTGCAGGAGGAGCCGAGTCTGCAGGGGGAGCGTAGGGTGAAGCGCTGTCTTGGGGGGCAGGAGCAGTGCCCCATATGGACCCAAGCTAGCATGGGGTGCAGCAGTGCCATGGGTACCTGGAGGGAACATCTGAGCCCCCCGCAGCTGGAGGCACACCAGGGCCATGGTGTGGAGGTAGGAGAGCCGCTCCTTCTCCCGTGCGGAGATGGGCAGCAGGGAGCGCAGCGCCTGCAGCTCTACGTTAATCTGGTCCCGGCGAGCCTTGGAGGCACTCTTGGTTGATCTGCAAAACCAGCCATCTGGGGAGACGTGCCCAGGAAGGGAGAGGGACACCATTCCCTGCCCGCTGCTACAGGGATGTCCTGCATCTGCCTTTACTCTTCAACCACCTGAAATCCCTCTGCCCCTACAACCTCCCTCGCTTCCACCCTGTGCGCCGGCTGGCAGCCCCACCGTCCCAAGCTGGTGCCAGCCCATTGCAGGGGTCATTGGGCACTATGCAAACTGGCCCAGGGCTCTCCCCAGCAAGGGGAGGGCCATCACAGCCCCGTAGGCAGGAGGTAGTAGGGAGCTCACCTGAACGGCTTCAAGGCAGCGGGCGCCTGCTTGCCCCTCCTGGGCAGGCAGCTCATCTCTGCCTGCAGAGGCCTGTGGCAGTGGCTGCAGAAGATGGTCATGGTGCCGGCACTAGGATGCTCGAAGCTGGCCGCACACAGCTGCCTCCTTTGCCTCTGGCTGCGTCTGAACCTGCTGACCCCACTGCTCCAAGCCTCCTTTTGTACCCTCCTGGGGCACAGGGGCCAAGCTGTGCATGGAGAGAGTTACCTCTCGTGACGCAACTCCAAACAGCTCGGGGCTATTTTTAGAAGGCAGGCTGCTAAAAATAGCCCTTGCAGCCGGCTGCAATCTGAGAGGGGAAGCAATAAAAGGAAGCCAGGGTCTTTAAAACAAACCTGGCTGCTCAGGAGGGGGTGATGATGAAGGTAGCAGGGATTCCCCCCATGGGGCACACATCCGCCCAGCTCCTGGCCCGCAGTTGTTGCCAGCCCAGCAGAAGGTCCAAGATGGACTGAAGGCCTGTGGCTAGTCGGCCCGCCTGGCAACTGCTCTCCACCATCACTGATGGCTGAGCTGGGTGCTGGGAGAGGGAGCTGGTATGCCAAGAAAATGCACTGGAGTCATCCAGACCACAGCGGTGAGCAGTGTCCCATCCCTGGGTCTGCAGCAGGGTCCTGGCAAAGGGAGGTCAGGGCCACAGCACCCCTGAACCCAAGGGAATCCTTGAAGGGGAGTGGGGTGCCTGTGACCCTCTCCCTGGTGAGCCCCTTTTCTTCCCAGAGAGGCCTTCTCCCCAACAGAGGTTTGCTCTCCTAGAGGCAACTGGCATGCGGCACTGAGCCTTTCCAGGGCCTCTTGTCTCTACTTGATGTCCCAGAGATTGTGATTCTCCCCAGAGAAGCCCCAGTGACAGCTGTTCACAGACAGAGCAAGGAGCACCTTGGGGAGCCTCTGTGCTCAGCACCACTCTGCCCAGTGCCGTGAGCCCAAGTGGTCTGCAGGCATTTCCTGGTGCCTGGCACCCTACAAGGAGAGTAAGCTTGGTGCTTCAGTGCTGGGCAAAGGGATGCCATGACAAAAAGCTTCTACTGTTTCATGGCACACTTTGAGAGACAACCTGTGGCTGAGGCAGCTGGTTGAGCAGGGGAGCTGGAGCTGCTGGACAATGCATGGGAGATGCCCACCCAGGCCTCACAGGTAACCTGCAGGTGCCAAGGACCACAAAGGCAGAGCCCAGGCTTGAGGTGCTCTCCCCGAGCCAGATGTGCCGTCAGCACACCCTGGCTCTGGTCAGGCCTCAGCCCTGCCATTGATGCTCCCACTCACCACAGCGAGGTGCTGCCAGTATGTGAAGAACAAGCTCTTGTTGCAGTTAGGGTGCCTTCTGTTCTCTTGCTGTGGGGTTTTCACTGCTTTCATACCACTCCTGGCTGCTCTGTTGCACCTGCATTGGCCACCTCCTGCACGCTGAGGAGCTCAGGCACCTCTGCAACCCCATGCTGCTGGACGAGCAGCACTTGACCTTGGTTACATGCCAGCTCTCAGTGCAGGGGAGATGGCCTGGGCCCTCTGCCACCCATTCCTGGAACACAGCCACCACCATCTCTCAGCTGCCCTCTGACTACATCTTTGCGAACACACTGAGCGCTTCCTTAGCTTTTCCTGCGTTAGGTCCACTAGTTGCTGCCGGAGCTTCTCCGCACATCAGACACCTCCACAGGAAAGGGCTCAGGCACAACCTCCTGTGCTGCCCAGGGAGGCTGCTCCAGACATCCCTCCACCTGCCTCCCTGGGGCAGGGAGCTGTGGGGCACCCACCTTCCTAAGGCAGCACAGCCCAGGAGACAGGCACCATCTTCCTCCCTGCCCTCTCGTAGGGCAGCACAGCCACGGGCAGGAGGCAGGCATGCCAGGGCAGTGCTGCTGTAGGGAGCCTTGCTCCCATTCCCCCACCCCAGCCACAGCCCCCACAAGCCACTGGTGGCCTGCAGCTGTGCAGGAAAGCACCCAGTCCAGTCTCCCCTCCCACACCTCTCCCCCCCAGTTCACCTGCTAGGACACACAGAGCAGCAGAAACCACATCTGCCTCAGCGTTTATAAAACTCCCCCCCTGGTTACTGTTTTACAATGGGAGCTGGGCAGAGGATCCAGCTGGGCCCAGGCTGAGGCTCTGCTGGGGCCTGCCATCCGATGCCAGGAAGCTGGTTGGTGCTGGCAGGTGCAGGCATGGAGGTCCCTGCTCTCTCAAGGCAGCACAGGAACAGTTCATAGCCCGAGGCCAATCCCAGGGCCGTGGCTGGTGGTAGGAGTTGATTCAGGCCCTTGGAAAGCGGCTGGGGACCAGGTCAGCCCCGCTGCAGCTCCACAGGCAAGGGAAAGGAAGGCGGGAGACGCTGGAGCCATCAGCAAGGAGGAAGGTTCACAGTTGTGCTGCTGGGGCAAGCCGACTTCTTCCCCGGCAGCCTGCTCTACCTGCACACTCTTGCTGCCCAAAGCGTGACAAGGTTAGAGGGAGGCCTGGCTAGGGCAAGACAAACTGAGCTCACATGTTCCTTGCTTGAAAGGGCTAAAAACTCATGCAGGCAGTGGAGCAAGAGGTCAGTGTGTGGAGGGGCGAGGGCAGGGCAGTAGAGGGACGAGCCAGTGTCAGCCCTGGGAGGAGACGATGGGGCGGCTGATGGTGCTGTTCGTTGTCATAGCCGAGAGCTCCCATCTGTAACACACCAATGGGATACACTGAGAGAAAGCACAAACACAATGCCCAGGGCTGGAGCAGCTCTGCTGCACATCAGCCTCAGCTTTGGTCTCCAGCCCAGCCGGCCTCAAAGCTGCACAGTGCTGAAGAGGGCTCCAGGCAACCCTCAGCTAGGGCTGGAGCACCCCAAAGACAGGGTGCACCCATGGGGTGACCTCCCAGCAAGGCGCACAGTACCTGATGTCATGGGGAAGGCAGGACTGGTCCAGGCTGTACTGAATCACTGCTAGCTTACACAGCGTCTTTAGACTGGGGCCTGTGGAAAGAGGGCAGTTAGCCACAGCAGTCCTTGTCTGGGCACTTGGGGGGAAACAAGGCATCATGCAATCAGTGCCATAGGAAACAGGGCAGCACACCCCGGCCATCCCTCTGAGGGGCAAGGCAGGGTGCACACCAGGGACAGGCTGGAGCGGTTTAATGTGCTCCCACAAGAAGTCTGTGTGAAGGAGTGCATGAAGAGCCATGTGCCCAGCTCAGGCCTGCAACAACAGCTGCATCTCTGGCTGGTCTGCCTTAAGCCATGTACACCAGCCAGAGACAACTGCCTGGCTCTGAGAGGCAGGCACCGGAAGCCATGAAGGACACCGCTCAGCGCTTCACAGTGGGGCCTGCTCACAGGGCACCTCGTGGCAAGGGGCACAAGCTGGGTGGGGAGTGCTTACGTACTGAAGTCAAGGATGTAGAGATCTGAATGATCCATCAGGTCGAATTCATCACCCATTCCCTCTTCTGGAGACGGGCTGCAGAAGTGAAGCAAAGTGTGTCAGTCAGTGCCAAAATGCTTGTACACCAGTTACAGCCCCTCGGGCTCCCCAAGGACTGAGCAAGTCCAGCACTGTTCCTGGCCTGCCTGCCTCATGCAGGGACCCTTTGATCCCTCCTGTCTCTCTGCTTCCCCCAGCAGCACCCAAAGCCACTACTCTCCCAGCTCCTCGCAGAGTAGGCAGAGCTGCGCAGAGCCAGGGCTGGCTGGCCCAGCTCCAGCAGTTGGGCAGAAACGCACCACCTCCTCTGCAAGCCATAGTAGGGAATGGTGGAGCTACCTCCTGCAGCTGCAGTGACTCCAGCCGCAGGCCTCCCCCTGTTACTTTGCTGCCCCTCCAAGCACAGGTCCCACTCTGCGGGGAACATCCCTTTTCCCTTCTTGTAAACTGATCAGCCTCTGGCCAGTTTCACACTTTTCCTTCCCCGGGTACCTCCTAAACTGTTCTCCAACAACTGAGCGACACTGGGCCCCCCCCCGAACTGTGGCACCCACCCTCAGGGCATGAGGAGGGTGCTGGCAAACTGCTGCCTCCAGAGCTGAGGCTTTTTTCAGGGGTCTATTTACTCAGCAATTTCGGTAGATCCAACTCTCCAAAGAGCTCCACTGAGAGAGGCAAAGCTGAGCCGCAGAATGATGCCGAGGATGACTCTGAGCAGGCTTGAGAAGGTATGTTACAGGCAGCTCCTGAAGGCAGGCATGTTTGCACAAACATCTGTCCTGCTCTTTGGTGTGATAAACAGGCCCCATGGGCTGCCCCACAGCAGGGAGGGCCAGACAGGCTGGCATCACCTGGAGAACCCAGCACACTGTTGGAATCTAGCCAGCTTCACAGCAATGCTGGATCGTGGAAGGCTACCCTAGTAACACATTAGGAAACACAGACAGATCAAACTGCCTGGGCAGGCAGGGGTCAGCCCATCCCTACCTGGCCCAAAACACCACACGGGGCAGCATGACAGAGCCCACGCTGTGTCTTTTTACAGACCTCAGGCCAGCTTCACCTCATGGCCAAGGGGAGACATGCAACGGGAAGTAAAAGGATTTGTGAGAACATCACATGGGTCAGGCACCTGATCCAGGAAGCATCAGACAGCACACAATGGCACAGAACAATGTCCAAAAAGCTGTGCTGGTGTCTCCAGCAAAGTCGGTGAGATAAGCTGGAGACCCAAGATGACTTTTTGCAACGCACTCTAGCTGTGCTGCAGGGCCACAGATCATGGGAGCAATGACCTATCTCCAGATATGGTGGCAGATTCAGCAAGGAGCTGGTGGCCATCCAAATTTTCTGCAACATGGAGAGCCAACAAAAGGAGCCATATGCTGCAGGCAATGCTGCTGTCCTCTCCCTGCCCACCTCAACTCTAGTTTTCCAGAGCTGCTTGAAACATCTACAGACTGCCACACGCCATCTGCACACTGCCACGCTCATGAGTGATGCCATGGAAACCTGTGAGCTAGATTCTCCTGTCTGTAAGCTCTCAAGAGCAGTGATGCTGCTGGGGACAGAGGCAGCATGCACTGTACCACACTGCCCCAGCACTGCAGTGGGCCAGAGCGTGATAAGCCAAGCTGCTCTCTCTGAGAACAATATAGAAGGTGCTTTGCAGAAGTACAACTTTTTCTACAGAGGAGTGAAGGCAGCAGCAGAGAATAAGGTCCCGAAGCAGATGCTGAGGTCTTCACCTGGCTTAGTGGCAGGGATTTCCCTCCTCGTCCGCAACAGCCATATATACCTGCTGCGTTAGCACAAACACTCCAGCAAAAGCCCACAGGTTAGCAACCTGCAGCCCAGAGAACATCATTATCTTATGTTCCTCTGACTAGGCTAGCAGATGGACTGCTTTTGGATTCTGCTGCTTGAGCTGAAGTTGTGTGGAAACATCTGCACGACAGTGCAAGCACAGACATTTCTCAGTTTGACTGCAGGAATTACCGTGGGCTCCAGACACAGCTCCCTGGCTGTGCCAAAATGGGGATGGCATTTCAGAAGACTAACCGAGTACATGCCAGGCACCGAGCAGCGCAGCAGTCATTTTAAGCCAAACCAAATTTGCCGATACTCCTGTCATATTGGTCCTGGAATGCTAGCGAAGAGCTCTGACTTCAGGCATTTCTAGGGAACAGCCAACCTCACCTATGGTTCCCTGCCTCTGCAGTCTTGATGGAACAGCCAAAGCACCTGAAAGACTGGTCACTGCATCCCCTAGTACAGAGACACCTGCCTGTGCTGGAACAGTAGTTCTTGTATCAGGGGAAAGCACTCCCATGACTGATGGTTGTTTGGAGAATTTGAAAGAAAGAAAAGGTGTTTTAAGTCCTGCTTTGGTTTAGGCAAATTTAGCGAGTCCTCCCTGCTTAGCTGGGACCTAATGCAGTGACTTCTCACCCCAGTGTCACTTGCTTCCCCACCTATGACCCACTAAGCTTCACATCTCACGGGACATGAGACAGTACCTGCCCCCCTCCCACCAGGTTCCCATAACCCCAACAAAAACTGCAGGGCACAGCTCATTGCTGGTAGAGAAGACCTATTGCTGATACGTCCCATCTGCGCGGAAACAGGCGAGAGCCCCTTTAATTCCACTCCTGCGTGCTCACTGTGCCACAATCTAATCTCGTATCCACGTCACAGGAAACCCTAGACCATCCCTTATCTTTCAAAGGAAAGCCAGCAGGCACCATGTCTGTGGTTTTAATCACCAAACTGCAAGCAGCTAGGGAAAGCCTGGAGTTCAAGACCAGGAGAGCCGCAACACCCAGACAGCAGGGTGCAGGACACCCTTTTGCCAGCCAGAGCCCAGCAAAACTGCTCGTTCCAGCTGCACAGCAACTCAGCGTGTTGGCTCTGCACCAAGCACCCAGTCAGAGCACCTACTCCCTCACCAGCGCCAGGCATTTCCAAGCCTTGTCAGGGAAAACACAGCCTCAAGCCAAACCTGGATCGGCATCTATTCAGCTAAACTCTGTTTTATAGCATTCCCTCTCACACTCCTTCTCTCTTGTGGGTGGTCTCTGCACACTGAAGTGCTGGTGGTTTTGGGAGGAAGCTAGACCATGGCCACAACTATGACACAGTTAACAGGAACACTGAGCTTAGCGCTACATGGCTTCCTGGTCACTTAAATAGGACACAAGTGACAGGACTGCTACTGGCCACAGTGAGAGACCACAGCTGGGGCAAAGAGACCAGGCTCTGGGCAAGACTACAAAAGAAATCAAGCATTTGGATGCCACAGGAGCAGACACCCTGCAGAAGCACTGCTTAAACAGTCTACAGTGCACATGAATCCCTTCAGGGAAGGCAGGACACAAAGGGGTTTTGCCTGCCCGTCCCCCCATGCTGCTGCCTCAGAAGCAGAGCCTGCCGGCTCATCCTCCAAGAAGCCCTGCCAGATCCCCCGCGCTGTGCGCGCCCCCTCCCCGGGCAGGGGAGCACAGGTCAGGAGGCAGACCACAGGGAGTTCTCCATTACAATGACTTCCTGGAAAACTTCTTATCTCACCAGGCAGCTCCAGAATACACCTGATAACTGTTACAGGAAGCGAGCACAGTCCCCACCCCCATCTGCCTCCCCCTTCCCCAGCCTGCAAGACCCTCCCTCCAGTCCAAGCAGGCTGCATTCCTGGATAGCAGCAGCTTTTCCTATCCCAAACTAGTGCTGATGAACTGGCCTGCATTGGGGTTGAGTCTGGATTAAGGAACAAGTTGAATACTTGAAATCGTTTGGTGGAGAAGACAAAGCACCGCTGCATTGCCTGGCAGAGGTGGGCCAAACTCCAAAAAGCTGGTGTAAAATTTGTGTGGTTTGCTAGCATTTCCTAGGAGTGCCTAGGTTTAACAGTACAGCCTAGTACTGTTCCTAGGAGTGCCTAAGTTCAGCTGCTGCTGTAACACAAATCCACACTGCAACATCTGAGAGCATCCAAAACTGCCATCAAGCCCTACCAAGCCTTCCGCCGTACAGAGCAGCACTCTATGCTTTGGGGAGACTGGATAACCTTAGCACCTCTGCGTACCTCACCTGCACTAAGCTCTTCCTCAAACCCACACGGACATCCTACGGCTAAGCACACACCCCAGCACTCCTGGGGCCTGAAGGCCCTTCAGTCCATCACACACTGGTATGGTCAGCCCGTCATCAGAACCTGCCCTGCCTTGTCCTCTGCCCCAACCTATCTTCAGAAGTATCCCCAAAAAGCCACTGCCAGGGTCCCAGAAAAAGCCCCAAAGCTTTCCAAACTATGTGGAGGGCTGAAAGCATTTCAGATGTCTCTGCAGGGTAGATGCTGGCAAACAGGCCTGTGCTCCAGAGCTGCAATTTGTCATTCCAGACAGCATAGAGTGTGTCCTGGTGATGGACCACTTCCTTTCTTTTAGCAGCTGTTAGGGCTCTTGGCCACATCCAGCTGCCCTGCACCCTGACAGTATCACTGCCAGTGTTTGACAGCTAAATCCTTAACACCAGGTCCCTTTTGCGAATGGAAACTTTGCTAAGGAACACTGGCACAGATGGGAATGTTGCCTTGTTGTGCGTATGAACTCCTCAAACAGCTCCTAGCTGAGCCAACATCCTGCTGCAGCTTGGCAGACACCACACTTGCCAATGAAAGAAACTCTGGTGAGAGCAGCAGGGCAGCACATAGGGGAGGATAAATCAGTCTAAGGTCTGCTACAGCACAGCAGACCAGGATACTTGTCCTTCTGACGGCAGGATCTCCTCCCTCCTCCCCACCACGTCTTTCACAGAAAGCTTGACCACTGCACAACCCCTCCTGAACAGGATGTTACATACTTCTGCCTCTACTTGTACAAGAAGGCTTGTTGCCAGGTGCTTTACAACCTTACATGACATCTTCCATCTCCCCCTTGGCGTTTTTGCAGAGGACCCTCATGCACATGTTGATGCCCATGATTTCTTACACTTGTAAGGCAGATGGACAATTGCCATGTGCCTCTAAAGTGCATTTGACTACTGCATGGGGCAGAGCATGAAAGGACACCGTGCTGAAGGGAATGGCAAACCCTCTCACAGAGCCACCCCACACAACCCACCTGGTGCCTCCAAAGAGAATGATTTTGTCCCCCACTCTGCAGCAGCACTGCCGGCGTCGAGGACACGGACCTTTCCCCTTGGGCTCAATCTTCCTCCAAGAAAGAGAAACTAAGGGGCGGAAAAGAGCGTACCAGCTTGTCACAAGAGCCTGGCTGAGACCCAGGTATAACCAGGTTATGGATTTAAAGAGATCACAGCAAAGCCAGAGGCCCGCTGCCCCACAGACACCAACTAGCTAACATCCACCCTCCCTGTCGACCTTGCTAGGGGCAAAATGATGCACTTCTACGAGGTCGTTACTGAAGTGTCGCTTAGATGCCAGGCGCAGCCCCGAAGCTCTGCCTGCTGAGACAGGAGCTGCAGGTCGAGGCCTTTTGCTTGCAAAGCCTGAGCGCCAGGACTTGCGGGCAGGTCCGACATCACAAGGAGCTGTACAGGGCAGAGGTCCAGGAGCAGGCAGGCTCCTTTCCCCAGCACCCCGTTGCAGTCCAGTTCAGGGGGGAGACCCAGGAACCGGCTCCATCTGCTGGCAGCCACTATGCATGCAGAGCATCCTCGCAGAGTGGAGACTGCTGCAACAGCCTGGTTGCAGGAGCATGGGGAACTGAACCAGGTGGAGAAGATAGCAGACTGTGTCCTTGCCGCTCTCTGTGGCAAGGATGCTGGGAGGGGTGCGGGGTGTGTGTGTAATTAATCACTAATGCACAGCACTGATACATTCAGGAGCTCTCATGCTAGCTCATAGATCAGCTTGGGGAGCAGCAAGTTGGCTGCTCTCAGGTAACTTTACTATGCAAAGCAATTAGCAAACAAAATCAGTCTAATGGACTGCAAAATGTGTCTGAGGCCCCCAAAACAGCTCACAGTTGACTGATATTCAGGGTACCAGCTCAAAAACCACCCCTTCTGCTGCACAGTTTCATCTGGTCCAAGAGAGTGTAGTATGGAGATGCTGGAGCTCAAGTTGAGCTGTTGCCGCAGCTACGGTCTCTTGCTCCTCTAACCCCATTGCTTCCCCATATCTTCTTTTCTGCCAACACTTCTGTATATTTAAGATGATGATGTTTTGCCAACCACCCTTTGATTAGCTGTGTCTTTCAGCAATGCTTTCTTTTTTCACTTTCTAATTGAGATTTGGAGACAGTCTGAGGAGGAACAGGAGTCCCAAGCACAGTAGCAAGTTCCTGTCAATGCTGTCAGAAGAGCCATTTTCCCCCCAGGCAGGCTCCTTACCCTGGGGGAGTACACTCATCTGAGCACTCACACACTTGAGGGCCTTGAGAACTATCACTGCAACAAGTTAAAAGCATAAATACCTGGATTGAACTTCCAGAGGTCGTGGAAGTGTCTGTTCAGGCGTGCGTTGTAGCCACCAAATACATATAGCTCCCCATTGTAGCTGACTGTGGGGAGTAAGCATAGACATCTGCGTGCCACCCAAGGTAGAGCCCAGCAGGTAGGTCCCTGTCCCAACATCAAACACAAAGCAAAGTGGCACTGGTTATCCACCTTCGCTTACATCACCTTCAGGGCTATGTGCAAGGCTTTTAGGTGGGCAGCAGCTTTCCACAGAAGCCAGGCTCTGGCACCCCTTGCTAACCCACATCTCTACCCAGTGGAACCAGACACCCCTTATGAGGCAGGCAAGAATTTCCTTCCGCTGTCCTCCTCTCTCAGTAGACCCAAACTCACATGCTGAATGGCTCCGCCGGCCTTCAGGGAGCACTGGAGTTGGAGGGGAGTCCAGCCAGGAGTTTGTTTCTGTATCAAATACTTTAATGCGGTTACAGTAGATCTCATTGTTGGAGTGAAATGGCCCAAAACGATCAGCTCTGCCACCAAATACGTACATCTTTGTTCCAATGATGGTAGCTGAATGGAAGTCTCTCCAGCGAGCTGGTGTACCCTGCAAGGACAGAGTAAAGCAGAACAAGAGAAAGAATGCAGATTACCCAGGGAGATAACATACCTTGATGGATGGGAAAGTTGGAGTGTCTGCCTTCTCCTGGAGAACTTCCCCTCCTGCAGATCCCAGCCACAGCAGACAGAAGCCGTATGACAAGCATAGGCAGCTACCCCCAAGAATAGCAGATAGGAGATGTCCTCCACAAACCAGAGTGAAAAGCAAACACTGACCTTGGCGGAGATTAAGGTCCACATCATGTTTGTGGTGTCCAATTTATGGATATCATTTGAAAAGCAGTCAGCCTGGAAGACAGAAGGGCAGCCTGGTCACAAAGGGACTGAGAAGCCTGGTCACATCTGATCCCAGGAAGGATGCTGTTCTACAGATCTGGAACATCCCTTTGGACTTAGTACTTCCTAAGACACATAGTGCTTGCTCCAAAATGTCAGGGTAAGCAGCACACTTATCGCTTCACTAGAGGGAGGCAAAGCCCATTTCTCCTCAAAGGTCTCTTGTCTCTCCCTGCAGCTTTCCCATTTCATTAGTGCTCAGTTCTTACCCCCAAGGCTGTCCTGCACACAATTCGTACATTCACAGCAGAACCCTGCCTCCACTCCATGCAGCAACAGAAGAAAGGGACACCAACAGGACAGTCAAACTGGCTCTGCTAAGGCCACTTGATGAGAGGTAGAAGCTAAGATTACTCCTAGGAGTAAGCTAAACATCCAGGAGCAAGCTAAACATCCAGGAGCAAGCTAAACATCCAGGAGCAAATACACTTGGGGTTCTGAGGATCCCACAAAACTCATCTGCAGTGAGCTGCCTGGAAGAGCCTGCATCCACACAAACACCACAGGCTCCTGCTCCTCCAGGCAGCGGAGACAGCAGCAAGCCAGCCACAGGCTTGTTTGGTCTTGGTTAAAAGAAGCCACACTTCAACTGCTCCTGCTGCTGTCATCAAGATCATGGATTTGTCATGCTATTGTCCTCAGAAGAGGAGGAATAACCCAGGGACTGCTGTAACAGAGCCCCAGCTTTCTTCCAGATAAACAGATGTGACTTTACACAGCTTTTCTGGAGCCTGGTGATAGGCTGAAATGATATTTACACACTTCTTAAGATCAGAGCATAAGGATTTGTTCAAATGAGCATTAGGCACACTGTCATCTAGTGCACAATGACCTTCAGCTCAAGATACTTCTTAATGGGAAGGCAAGCAAGTATCTTGCTGGTCCCCTCCAGCAAATGTGAGAGCAGGTACAGAATACAGGGAATATGCACCAAAAAAACAAAACAAAGGACAAAACCTCACAGCAACACTGCAGACATTGGAAAGTGATTTTCCGGCTCATTTCTCAGCCAAATTAAAATAAATGTTATTTATCTAAACTGGCTGAGAAATGAGCCAAAAAAATATTTATATTTTTACCTCTATATATCTATATGTTTTGGGGAAGAAAAAAAAAATCCACCATTTTTTTAGGCCTACTTTCTCAACTACCTTCTCTGAAAAACAATGAGTATAACCTGAGTAATTGATGTCATAACTTAGCAAAGTTATAAAATGAAAGTAACTATGGATACAAATATGCCCCTGTATCCTGCCTCTACCAACGTCGTGGGTAGGAAGACCCTCTTTCCCAAGGGATCGCCAAATAACAGTTACAGATACTACTTACCAGCTGTTCATAGCCTCCAAAGATAAACATGCTCTTTGCCAGGACACAAGCTGAGTGCCCATCTCTCGCTCCTGGGACCATTCCAGACACCTTTGGTGTGAACCACTTGTGCGTGTCTGAAACAAAACAGGAGGCAACGCTAAGAAAATACAGTAGATGTTGGGATAGAAATGAAGAATGGTAGTAAAGAGCTAAGACAGGCAAAGCTACCTGCCTGAGCTTCCACAGAGGGGCATGGTGACAGAGGTCCCAGCTCCTGGGCACAGCTGCTGACTCTGCCCGACCTGACAAACAGCTCACTTTAAAGTGTGAGTAGTATAGCACTACTTGAGCAATATTATTTTTGTTGAATCTCTTGCAAAGCCTATTTGTGAGTCACTTATCAACTCGGCATTTACAGTTTCAATTACAATGAAGCAATGATGCTAAGTGATCCAATTGACCTCATGGCATGGAGATGCTGACTGACCGAGCAAAAACAGCTCTCAAATCCAGTCAGAAGTCACTTAACCACAAGCTCATCATGTCAACAGAGCTACTGTGCACATCCCCACGTCTGCAGCACGGCTCTCCCTGTCTTATCTCCTCCTCTTGTTACATTCTCATCCCCTCTTCAAAGGAAGCTTTCCTCACTCCTTCACGATTCCCTTCACACTGCTCCCTGTGAGCCTGCACCAGCCAGATTCAGCCCCTTAGCCCACGCGCTCCAAGGGCTGGCTTGATTCAGGGGAGGACTTTAAATCCAGCCAGAGCTGTTCTCCATGCCAGGGCAACATGGAGCCAAGCCAGCGACTCCCTGCCAAGCACAAACAGGCACCTGTCCCAAGAGTCCAGAGAGGCACAGATAAGCCTTGAGGCAGCAGGAGACATTCCCCCCACCCTCCCTAACCGCTGCGAGCTGCCAAGAGCAGTGCTTATTTCAGGAAGCGGTAACATTGGAGCTGAAGCAGCATTCTTCACGAGGATAACTTCTCTGAACTTGGCCTGCAGCCACAGCTACCCACCTAGGCTCCAGCTGGAACCACACAAAGGGGCTTGCAAGGTCAACAGAATCCCTGGGCAGCCTCTAGTGAGAAAGCTGCTGCAGCTATCGAGTTACTTTCCTTTACGGGGCTGCTTCCAAGCCCAATCACACGGTAGCAGCAACAGCTCACCCAAGCGCAACATGTCAAATTAGAGATGGAAAAGACCTCGACTTGTGATCTGCTCAGCACCCCAGGGGACAAAATTGCACTCAGCCAGGACTTTATCCAGCCTGATGTGACTCCTGCAGTGGAATTCACACCACAGACATGGGACTGTGACTGCCAGCCTCACTTTCCAGGGTTGGCAGGGGACAGGCACAGTGTGTACAGACAGCTGCAGAGGGTTCAGACCAGGGCTGAAGTCAGGCCTTTCTGTTAATTTTCGTGTAATGCTAGTGTTGGAGTTGGCAGGGAGACCAGGCAGCTCCCACTACAAGGCCTCTGCATAGGCAGATGTTTACTGATGGCTTCCCAGGTGTCAGGGGAAGGGAGAAACCTTGTGCCCAAAGAGCAGCTCCAAGCTGCAAGACATTTCCTGGTGAAGAAGGGAACCCATGACCAAGCAGCAGAGCAAGCAGTTTCCTTTCAAGTCCAGCAAGCCAGTTATTGGTCAGTATTTAGATGGACTTGCCTCCAGAATCCAGAGGTACTCCCTTCCTTTCCTGATGCTCCTGTCTACCCAGTTCCTGAAGGTGCCTTTTCTCCCCAGGTGCTCCAGCAGCATGATGAAGCAGCCAGCTGAAAGGCCCAAGGAGTTTATCTTTCAGGTTTATCTAACTTGACTCATGCCTTCCCTTATTTTGCCATCCTGTCCCTGACTACTTCTGTGTTTTATGCCTCACTCTCCTCCACACTTTCAGAAAGAAGGACCACTCCGGAGAGGAACCACAATCCTCGAGAGCTCTAGCCCCTTCCTGCTGCAACCTCCACCCACAGTTAAGGGGTAATACATCATCACACAGAGAGCGCACTTCAGTTGTAGTTACTATCAGTGAGAGCACTCAAAGCTGATAGAAAAATTAAAATCAGTTTGACTATTAGACAAGCTCAGTAATCTCTGTTCAAAGGCTTGAGAGAGACAAGCATACAGACACACTGGCCACCCTGCTCCCCTTCTAAACCTGCTGAAACAGCTAGCAACACCAATTCCTCATTTGCGCCATTTCCTCCGGATTGTCACTCTGTAGAGAGATTGAGGGACAGGAAAACAAGTTGGGGAGCAGTGCAGTGGGGCAGAGAGAATGTCTTATCAAAAGCAGTTGTGACAAGGAAGAGTGAGAAGCTGGAACTTACTGACATCAAAGGCATAGAGCACGTTGCAGGCTCCCTCAGTGTCATTGCGACCACCCCATATGTAGACGATGTCATCTATGAGCACTGCTGAGTGCCCATACCTCATGTAGGGCACCTCTCTCACATGATCTCGGCTGTTTGTCCACACTGGAGGCAGTTTGATCCAGCGCAGAGACACTGAAAGCACAAATTTGAGCCCACGTCAAATCCTAAGCCCGCTACACATGCTCACAGGCCACAACCCATCCTGCCCGGCTTTTTTTCCCCCCCTATGACAAGGTGCAGAAGCAATCTAGTAAGCAAGACAAAGCTGTGTCTGACCCTGAGTAGTAGCTAGTTAAGTAATACAGAAGCACAGTATTCCACAGGCCCCTGTCACAGGTGAGACTAGAGGAAGCACTGGAGGACCAAAGGACTCTGGACAGAAATAGGCTCCATTCTGCATCAGTTACACTGAAGAGGTTTCTACTCTGGCTCATCCTAGGCTGTGAGTGAAGGTATAGCACGCACACACATACACAAAAAAATAGGGAAAGGAAAAACTGCAGAGGTGATAAGGAATGCAGACACTACTTCAGGCTAGTGATGTTTTTGAAGAGACTCAAAGCTGGAAGAATGAGCAGCACAGGAATAATTCACTGCAGCAACAGGCAAGGGAACACACCTGAAGGCATCACCTGGACTTGCAGTAGTGCAGTTTAAGTAAAGCAATGCAGCAGCTTTGTAGGAACAGGGTTTGTTTGCTTTTGTTTTGTTTTTTAAGCTTTGGATGACACAGCTGTCTGTCTCCTTTACCCCCATCCATACCTCAGTTCACTCTGCAAGCCTGGTGTTCCTAATAGGAGTTCCTTGTGATTACAGGTTCTCCTTCCTGGCAGCCTGTATGTCATGTTCAGCAGTAGCCAGAGTAGTCAACAGGTATTACAGGGTTTAATGACAGTGCAAGAGTCACAGCGAGAGTTACATGGCTTTTACATAACAGCATCCAGACACCCTCCCTCTACCACACATACAGCCTCCAGTTTTGTTTTCAACATGGAGATAACACAAAATAAAGCAGCAAACAGCCTGCAGTTTCCCTGAAATACTTACACAGGGGAAGGGAAAGGGCCAGGCATCTTAAAAGGTGAGCACCTACCCCAGAGGGAGAAAGGGCACTGAGGAAGCACAGCCAACGCTAAAGTCAAGCTAGACGATACGTTCCCTGCCTAAAACACAATCTTCCTCTTTGAAAGATTGAAAGAAATAATTCAAAATCTGGTATCTTGGCTTTAGCACTGGAACCTGGCAATGATAACTGAGCAAGGGCTTGGGAAGCCAGTGTCACCTCCCACATGGTGGCTGCAGGATCATGACCCTTTAATATTTGGGAGTGGCAAGAAGGGAAAACAATGTAAGAGCATTCCTTTGGGCACAGTAATTATGCTTCCACCATAAGAGCAGTGCTTTACTGGCACGTTTTACAAGCTACAATGTTCAACTGTCTTGAGTGTGAGAGACCAGTCTCTCTGGATAGAGATGAATGTCTTTGTTCACAAGATCCTGATCTACACTCCCGTCTACGCAGTGAGCAGCTCACCTTGGCAGCCCTGTGTAACCAATGCCTTTATCCACTACTGCACTAGTCAGTCTTCTCCACAGTCAGATTCAGAGGAGTGAATTCACTGCATCTTACAGACAAACTAGTTTTATCTACATGCCACCTGCATGTTAGGAGAGTGTTCAGCATGCTGTCCGGTCTGCAAAACTAGTCATTGGTTCTCTGCTCTTGTCTCTGTTCAGCTGAACCCATCCAAGCATCTGTGCAGTTCTTCAGCCACTTGCCTGACTATAGGCAAATACTTCATGGACCAGCTCAGTAACCTCTTCAGTTCAAAAAAGCACTGAATCAAGAAATGTAGCCTCTGCCAACTCAGCCTCCTGACAGATACTGGCTACCCTACACAAATAGCTCCAGTTGCTTTGCTAAACCACGTTGTGAATCTGCATCAAAGCTGCTGCCAAAACGGGAAGGCTTCCATCCTAGCCACGTGCCTCTACTGACTCCATCATGCTGGCAGTGGTTGTCAGCTGCCCCCACAGGGAAACAGCTCAGGAGTCTAAACCTGGAGACTCAACTGAGTGCACTGGCTCTCACTCTAACACCTTCATGCTAGGGGCAACTGAGCATGGTCATGCTGCAAACTGGATGGGGGACCTGAGTCAGCTAAACACCACCTCTTTGCACCTGGGTAAGTTGGGTTCACAGAGAACAAGGACAAAACAAGCCATTGGCTATGTGGTTACTTCTAGTGAGTGCTTATCCTAGCAGTCTGCTGGACTACAGCTCTTCTGTGCCCTGCCCTTGAAGCTGAAAATACAGGGCTGCACAAGGGAAGAGACTCCCATCTACACTGATAGCTTTTTTGGAAGCTAAGAGTCAGACAGCGTGTTACAGAGCATAACATGTTAAGCAGCAGCAGGCAAGAAAACTAATAACTGAGCCCAGCAAGCCACTCCTTCACGAACCACAAGGACACATTTACCTGCATTGAAAACATGGACGTCAATCTGCCGCAGAGTCTCATAGTCTTCTCCAGAACAATATCCGCCAAAGGAATAGACTTTGTGCCCGACAGCCACGGCCGCGTGGTTCACCCTCCGCGGCCCACCTTCCAAGTGCACTGCCCACCGTAGCATTCCTCCCTGCAAGCCAGATTGTCTTCAGGGCCCCCAGTGCCACAGCCACATGCTTCCTGGGCCACCACGATGTCACCTGGCTCTGTAACAGAGACAGAATGCTAAAATAATATGATCCATTTTGCAGGTCTTCCTACCTTCCTCGAATGCCAACTACAAAGGTCACATTGCTGTACCCTCACTTATCTGCCTCCCAACTGGAGATGGTTTTACTCTCCCCCTGGGAAGGGGACACAAGGCAGGTACTGTAACCTGAGCAAGGCTCAGAAGAGCAGACAGAGATGCTTTCACATACAAAAAAAACCTCAGGGAGGCTGTACAGGCAGCCCAAGCCAAGCACCTTTGGCAAAGGCAGCCCAGTGCTGTGCACCCGGCTGTGCCCCGGTCATGTACACATCATGTACACGCCAGAACAATTTGTCCGCATGAATGAAAACATATAGCAAGAGCCAACTGCGAAGGTGAAAAGAACAGAACCAGAGGCAAGAGAGTGTGCTCTTTGGGTCAGTTGTGAGAAACAGCAGAGGAAAATATTTTAAAAAACACCCAACAAAAAACCCCAAAGAACCACCCTCACATAAAGCGACTGACTACCCAATATGTGGGTGATCTACAACCCTAGCATTTGGACTCATTGATTTGAGCACTAGGGTCCAGCCTCATTAAACACAAGAGAACAGAACCTCCCTAGTCTGGGGAGAAAGCTCTTTGCTAACGATCAGAATAAGGCCTTTTTTTCTCCCGCAGGAAATCCAGGCATAGCTATGAAAATTTTGTAACATCATATCTCAGTTAAGAAACTGATATGCTTCACACTTCAAACAGATGGCTTAGATCAGCTCTTAGAGAAGTCACCACAGCTGATTTTTGCAGAGATTCTCCTTTGGATCTAAGGATCTGGAGCACAGTCCTGCCCAGGTCCTTCTGAAAAAGCAGGTCAGTTCAATTCTTTAAGTTTTCCCCAGCTGAAAAACAGCCATTAGAACAGACGTCAATGTTTTGGACAGCCTAAAGACAATTCTCTTTTTTTATTGCTTGGTTCTCACTTCTTGGAAGGCACAGTCAGTGCGCTTCCACTCCACACCCAGTTTTAGTATTTGCAGAACTCCAAGAAATTTGTGGATGCCTTAGAATGAGGACTAAAATTCCTACACATTTTCTCTGTCCTTTTTCTTTTAGGAAAGTAGTGAGTTTTCACAAGGAGAACTTTCCTCCTGTTTAAAGTTTCTGAAATAGCTGGAGAGCAGCAAGAAGGGGCAGTGCCATGCTGCTCTTCTCCAGTTGGCCTCCCCTGGCCCTTCAGCCAAGCTGAATCACTGCTCACAACCAGGCACATCATGCAGCACCTGGCCCACCTGCACACTCCCATTTTATCCCCCCAGAGAAAGAGTCAGAGATGCCACCCAACCGGGATCTCCTGGAAAGGAGCAGAGCTCAGGCTTACAGCTCCAGCCACGCATGCTACAGACATCAAAAAGCATCCAGAAACCAGTCGTCTCTTGCCAGAGCTCCTAAATGTCAGCAAAATTTCAGTTATTTCTTTTTAAAGTTATTTCTTTTTCAAGTTGTTACCAAAATAGAGACTCGCAGCCAGAGCATGCTCTGTATCTGAAAGTTACAGCAACAGGACCTGTGTAAAGTCCAAACAGAGAGCATCCTGCAGTCTTACTCGTAACAGATGAAAGCAGACTACAGAGTCCCTCCTGCAAAGCCACATCTTCCTAAGGCAACCACCCTAACCTAAATTGCTGCCAGCAACCCAGAAAGTCACATTGAACTTTTCTCCAGTAGACCTGCTCCAGAAGGGCCAAGAAACAGTCCTCCTCTGCTACAGGCCATGCTTCACTGTATGTCTGGGACCACCCCAAATTCAGATCTAGCAGGTTTGGGTTTTGGTTTTTAAATTACCTTTTTTTTTTTTTTTTTTTTTGAAGGCAATCAGCAGCTCTTGTATAAGTCCTTTGCAAAGCTACAGAATAGATGAGTTTCCATGGAGACCACCAAAGTCACCTTTCAGGCTATTTTGAAGGCTTCACATATCTAAATCTGTTTCCTGCCTCAGTCATGAGTTATCACTAAAAAAAAAAATAATCCAATTAATATTTTCCTCAAAATCACTTCTTGGTTAAGTGGTTCTGTAAGAGCTCCTCAAGGAGCTTAACTGGGCTTTATCACCAGTGTCAATATTTTCAATATCCTTCAGACTGAGCCCAATCCTGGAAGATCAAGAGGATGACTCTTACTTCCAAGCTCTCCACTTGGTTCCTCCTGGGGTAGAGGAGCACAGCAGCCTGGCATGGCAGGCCAGCATCATACAAAACCACTTGCCTTTTTTGCCAGAAAAGCTGCTAAAACTCTTCTTTACCTTTGGGAGTTCACTGGAGCTGTGTGCTGAGAAGCACACTGCTGCCAGAGCAGGACGCTGGTCTTTTCACCCCAACAACAGCCAGCTACCCTGCCTGAAGTTTCATAATTACGCCCAGTCATAGGAAGAGGAAATGAAGGCTGCACCTCCTAAGAAGTTAATCTGGTCAACCAGAGACAGCAGCTCAAGGCCCAGCCGGTTACACTGTAAGGAACAACTTCATGTTATAGCAACAGTGTTGCAATGTTGTTTCCTACAGTTATAGGTAAAGCTTTTTCCAGAGAAGAGCCCTTCCCAGGAGGCAGACGGTTGTACCTGGCCCCAGGGCGGTGGTGGGGTTGAAGCTGGCTGCGCTTCACCTTGGCTCAGGATGGGGATAGCCCTTCCGAGCGAACGCAAAGCTCAGCCAGCGTAGCCTCTTGCTGCCACTCGTCAGGCCCCGGGCACGCAGGAACACTCGTTTGCATTATGAAAAGAAAACAATCAGAAGTGTGAAGCGATCCTTACAGGGTCATATATTAAAAGGTAAAGGAAAACACAGGATTTAACAAGCTGCCGTGGTTTTTCCAAACCCGAGTGCTCTTCTCTACACTGTAATAAAAACATCCAGCCAGAGTCCATGTTCCTTTTCTGCCACTAGCCACAACCCCACCCCAAAACCGTCACAGTGTCTTCCCACCTTGGCAAAGCGCTTGTTCTCCCCTTTTTGGCCATGCATGGGACCACCCACTCCTCCCCATCCTTTCTGCATCCAGCTCCAGCCTCTCTCCTCTCCTGCCTTTTTTTTGAAATAGTTTCATTAGAGCAGTCTTCTGTCCCAAAGTCAGCTTTCCTCCCGCAATTCCCCTCTCTGCACTTTCTGCAAATATGAGTTAAACACATTTTTTGAGAAAAAGTTATTTTCTGTCCTAAAACTCTGCATGCTGTTAAGTTCCGTTTCAGGTTTTGATTTCTGATTATAATTTGTATGATATAAATGAGTACAAAAATACCTCACTTGACATTACCCAGTGTGCCTTAGATTCCTTTAAAGACTACACAGGGTACAGCCCGGGGAAGAGTGAAACAGCAAAATCAGTATCAAACAATTTACTAACAATTTCCCCCAACTGTACAATAAACTGTACAATCACACATTCTGTGATTTCTCATTTAGGAGACCAGCAACACGGATGTAGGCTATAAAAACACAGAAATATTGATGAGACAGAGGCAAATTGTACCAGAGAACTGGGAGGGCACTGGCTGCAGGAGGCAGTACACATCCAAGCTCAGGCAAACCAGATGCTTTTTCACTCTGCACTGCAAGCCAAAGGGACAGTTAGGGACACTAACATTCATCACGGATCAGAAGAAGGGCTTTCACATGACAGAAAAATTAAGCTTGAGTTGTTTAAATCACAGAAGCTATTGCTACTGCCGAAAGCCAGCAGGATAAGAGGAGGGTTGCCTTCCACACAGATTCATGCAGATGCTGAGCTAAGCATGTGTCCCTTCTCTGGATCCTCCAGAGCCACCCGTCTCCTCCCAGAGCTGCACCTTTTTTATAGCAGCCTCCACAGTTTATCTACACTCACAGCAGAAGCTGGTTGAAGGTCTGAGGAACCTCCTTCAGCACCTCCAAACCCCAAACCCCTCAGGAATTATGACCATATAGGGAAACCAAAAAAGCTCCATCAAAACAAGCACAAGTTTCTTACACAGTGAGAGAAGAGGTTTTCTAGATGGAAAAAGAAAAACCACAACACAACAAAGACACTGCACTCTCACATGCTCTTGTAGCTCAGCATATGCTTGCTCACCTTAGATCAGGAAGCTCTGGCTGCCTCTCTTCTCCCAGTCTTAGCTGGGAGAAGCGCACGCACACACACACACTTGGGGTCTCCTTCACAGAAGGGCACGTGTGCTTCTATTCAAGCCACCACTTGCTTTTACTGACACACGTTAGCTCCCCACTTCACCTCTCCAAAAACTAATAGATCTTTTAATTTCATTTTATACTCACACAGGCAGCAATCATGCAATCTTCACAACTCTCCATTTCCCTGGTCTGGCATAATCTATCCAGAGTTACAGTCAACCACAGAGAAATTTGGGTTGAAACACTGGTAGGTCCTATCATTAATTGCCAGGAAAAAGAACATTTCTAAAAATCAGGTTACACTCCACCTACTGCTGAAGTACCCAATGCTGATGATGCTGCAGATTAAGTGAGCACAGCGATGAGTTGTTCCCGTGTCACTAAGCACAGGGAGGCTAAAATTAAAAGGTGCTCAAAATAACCTGCTGTGGTCCCACAGAAATGCCTGAAGCCCTACACTGACTGTGCACAGCACCACAAGCCCAGGTACGCACTTCCAGAGCAAGCAGTGCAACAACGGCCGTGGGGTGACCACAGACTGGCTCTGTTGCTGCAGTCAGGCATGACACCTGACCACAAGTGGAAGCTCACAAGTGCGTTAGCAGAGAAATAGCTACGGACATCCTTCAACACCTCCTTGTTCTTCGTCAGTGCTAACATCCAGCAAAGGGATCACAGCAATTCACCCAGGGCATTTCACTGCTAAGTAGGGGAACAACCAGATTTTAAGTTAGCTCTGCATTCTTTGCATTCAGCACCTGTAGGCAACACTCCCAAATCTCTGGCTGTCCTGTTGTCTGAAGGCACACATAATACCTGAAACAACCTTCATCCTAACTGTCCCAGCTTGCACCCAACGA